ATTTGATTTATTGTGCTGTTTTATTGTTGATTTTATATTATCTTATCAACTAATCTTTAATACATAATTATTCAATTAAATCAGGGTTAGGGTTTGATTTTTATTGATAGTAATTCCAGCCAGTATGCTTTGGTTAAATTGAGCGAAGCGGAGGCGACAGCCGTAGCATAGCGATTGCAACAGACCAGCGAAGCTGGTCATTAAAGAGAATATTAGTAAGCATTGATTTGTATAGTTTAGTGGTTAGTATTTGCGATTTGATTTATTGTGCTATTTTATCTTTGATTTTATATTATCAACTAATTTTTAATGCATGGTTACTTTCTTGATAACAGTGCCGAATTGACTTTTGACTATTCAACTACAAGTAACTGCCATTATAGTGAAGTAGTCTGTTTAAAAAATTTTTTGTATTGAGAGTTTTATTTGTAAGTTTATTATATGGGTGACGTCAAGGGTAAATCAAGCTTTGATTATGGTCGAAGTTTGATTTTCCCTTTGTGTTACTTATACCGAGAGAATTTTATATAGATTCTCATTAAAATTAATTCACTATATCGAGACCATCTAGATTTTTTTAATTGCTCAATTAATTAACATTTATACGTTTTAATCTTTAATAAGGTTCTGCAAATGCTAAGCACGGTACTATTAAGATATAGAGTTTATGTATTGTGTTTAATAGTACTGTATTTGTATGTGATATTTATTAATGATCTATAAGCTATTAGTGCTATATAAGCGAATTTCACATATGTGACAAATAACTTTACTCTGTATAAATGTAAATAATCAGTAAACTGAAAAATTTAGTAATAAATTAATACTTGAAATCAAGTTATCATAATGAAGTTTTGAGCTATTCGCATAACGTGTCCATACTTTGTAGAGGCCCGCACGGGCAGAAATTAGGAAAATTTAAAAACCTCACAAAATTTAGGGTATTTCATCAATTTACCGCGATGATTAATTATATTCTTCGTATATGTTTGAAGTTTTCTCATATCAATTCCTCTCGTCGAAAAAAATTTGCCCAAAACCAATAACGATAAGAGATCACGAGACGTATGTCTCGAATAATATTGTATGAAGAGTAGCATAAAGAGAACAGTATTGTGACATATTGGGCCACAAATTGAAATATAAAATGGGATTCGATTACCCCACCAAGTGTTGTAAATTTTGATTTCCAAAGCCTTTTTTTTGGCATGACCTATGTTACAAATATTTCAATCTACATGTAAAATATTTTATTTATACACACACTTAATTTTAAGAATAATTTTAATAAATAAACAAAGAAATTTTGATTTTGTTGTGGTCTCGTAAAAAAATCACCGGTTAGCAGATTTCTGCTTTATTCAACAACATCCACAACATACGAAACCAAGTCTATTATCAGAGCACATCCTACAGTCCACCACAACTAATATTTTGCTTCGCAATATGATTAAGCCTCTCCTTTTAAAGAGTAATCAACGAAAATTATTAGTTGAACTAATAAACTGTATATGATACCAAATTTCCAATTTTGAAAAAGGATGACTACATAAAATTACGATTAAGGGAAAAAAAATAAATATTTAAATAGGAAAACAAATAACAACTAATACTAGATATACTCTTAAAGATTCAAATATTCGATATATACCTCTTAATTATCTCAAATTATCATCATTATCAACCCACTCACCGGTTTTAGTAACGCTTTCTAAAACCATCAATGCTCTTCTCATCCCTTCTGAAGTAACTCTTGTACGTCTTGCCAGCGCTAGTCGCTTTAACGTTCCAATCCTTTTTGCATACTGTGTAATTATACACAGATATTCATCATCAATACAATTACTTCTAGGAAATTGTAATAACTCCAAAGGCGCTTTGCAATTTCCCAATAGCCAATGTAATACCATTAACCAAAATGTTCCTTCAATAACGATCATTAGATTTTTTAATTTTAAGGGTAACTTGAGTGCCATGTCTTTCCAAAATACTTCATCATCCATTAATTCGGTTCCAATCGATATATGCATTTGTTCTAT